GGCACAGCTGGGTTGGACCAAGGAGCAAGTACCCTCACCTCCACATGGACCCTCCTGATGGACAGGCCTGAGCCCCCCCATGGCAGCCTCTCTGCTGGCTGCCCTCCCTCAGCGGTAGCCAGTGCAGCCCCTCCCACCCCAGCCAGAGTGAGGTGGACCCACCAGCTCTCCCACTGGTGTCCAGACACCTGGGGAGCTCCTGAAAACCACATGCTGGGCCCTGCTCTGCCCCCGCCATCTGCCCTCAGAGAGCCTCTGGACATGCAGAGTGACCGGGCTTGAGGATTTTCTGTTTTCCTCTCCTTGTTTGTTTCTAATGTAGTCTCAGCAATTTGGGCTGGAAAAGTTCTAGGTACAAAACTTATGGACGCCCCGGGGATGAGTGGAGGGCAGGATGATCCACCACCACCCCCGTGTGAAATGCCCTGAGCTCCCAGCACAGGTGGGTCCATGGTCACTGTTCTTCACCCTGTTGCTTTCTCGCTGCACTCAGCCCCAGCCTCAGCCCCAGCCTCAGCCCCAGCCTCAGTCTCAGCCTCAGTCTCAGCCTCAGCCACACACTAGCAGAAACTGCAGCTACCAGGAAGTGGCTCTCTGGTACTGGTGATTCGATCCTGATGAATCCTGGTGTGCTGTGCACTGCCCCGATCCCCAAGTGTCAGGGGGCCAGGCTGGTGGAGAGCTGAGAGGCATCTTCATGACCAGCACAGGGCCCGGGCACCTGCAGGGGCTGACACTGCACTCTGGCTTTGTGACCTGGGATTCACCTTTTCACGGGGATTTTCTCTGCTTGTTTCTCAGTTGCTTTCAGAGGCCACAGGGAATCACAGACAGCCTTTGTCCTTCTCGGCCTGGGCCCCCAGGAACCTTGCCAGGTGCTGCTCCCTGGATCCCAAGGGCAGGGTGGGGGCAGAGGTGGTTTCTGCTCTGTCCATGACCTGCAGTATGAATGTGGTTGTATAAGGCTCCAGAGCTCCAGGAACCAGCCCCCAGGAATTCCCTGCTGAGCCAGGTGTGGGCAGAGCAAAGCCGTGGGAGGAGGAGGAAGCAGCATAGACAGACACCCCAGAACTAGCGGTGGCAGCCCTGCCTCCCAGTCTGCCGTCTGCCCATCCATCTCCCTGCAACTCTGCAAAATCTCCCTGCCTAAACTCTTGGCTCCCAGCAACCCTGACCAGGAAGGTCTACGGGAGACTTCAGAGAAGGAAGCGCCCCCAGCACAGCCCAGCACTCCCTCTGGGCCTCCCTGGGTCAGACCTCACCCTAGCCCACCCCAAACCTGCTGTGCTGCTGGGCTTTGTCATTCTGAGCAGCAGCTTCTGGAAAACCAAACCACCACCTCAGCCTGGAGCCTCATTAAGTGCTGGGTGCTCACGCCTCTGCCTCGGGCATGCAGGGACCTCCTGGGACTGCTGAGTCTCCCCTGGCAGGGAGGCCAGATTCCCAGGCTCAGCTCTCAGGTCACCTTCTCAGCCTGGTCCTTTGCACTCTGACTCTGGTACTAGGCACCTCTCCGCAGCTTCTTGTTCCTGTCCCTCAGGGGCAAGGAGTGTGTCATGGCCCCATATCTGCTTTTCACTTCCTTCAGGAGGATGGAGTCCTGTGGTCTCTTGGAGCTGGAGAAAATCTCAAGGACGCTGTAGTCAGACCTTCTACCAGTCAGCGTGGTCACTGTAATGACAACCTCCAGATCCCATGGCATGCAGCCATGAAGGCTATCTCTTTCCTGTCTCATGTTGACTCACATGACTTTGGTTCTCTTCTCTGCCTTTTCTTCAGCCCTGAATCCAAGTAAAAGGATGGCTCCTATCCAGGATTTCCTGTTCCACTGACCCAGGAAAAACAGGAAGAAATTCCTAGAAATGCAGGCTGCCTCTCAATGCCTCTGCCTAGTGTGGGCACACTGTGGCTTGCACCCACACCCCACTGGCTGAACACAGGACATGGTCAAGTCCTGTGTGGTTGGTGGCATGGTGGGATGTATAATGCACTGTGCCAAGAAGGAATGAAAACTGCAGAAGAGTGATACCATCAATCACATGTGCAGGGTGGTCAGTTCCAAGGCAGGGTCCCTTCCCTTGGGGTGTACAGTGAACAGGTATGTTATACACTTTCTCTGTGTGACCTTATGTAAGTCAATTCACCTCCCTGGCTGTTGGATTTGTTATTTATAAAAAGCACTTCACTCTTCCAGGCTCCTCCAAGAGTATACCATGCTAGGATGCTAGTGCTTCCCTCTCACTTACTATTGTGCAGTCAATTCTTCACTTAAAGTCACACCCCAGCCTTGAGAACAGGACTGAGGCTCACGTGGTGTTGACGAAGAGGAAGTTCTGCTCTCAGAAGCCAGACGCAGAGAGTTCTGGAGAATTTTTAAGGATGATTTTGGTGATGCCTTTTGAAAGCCTTATACAACCACATTCATACTGCAGGTCATGGACAGAGCAGAAACCACCTCTGACATGTGGACAGGCCAGGTGGGTAGAGTCCAGGACAAGCTGCCCACTTGGTGAGGAAAG